ACCCCAGCTGTCGAAGCGTAGCGGTTTCCCCGTCCTAACATGCGCAGGAATGGAGATACAGGACCGTGAAACACGCTAATTCCTCCATGCTCCGCCCAATACCTTTTTGCGGCGCAGATTCCCGTTCATGCTAACATCCGTCGTAAGCGCGCGTGTCGCGTGCGGCTCTCTTGGCACTTTGCCAAGTCCTGTAATTGCGCTTTGGAATACAAGTAAAACGCAATTTCCTGATGCGGATAACATTTTAGGTGCTGCAAAATAAGAACCGAAGATGATGACGAGGGCCAGAACTCAAGAGCAACTGTGCTGCTTCTGCAACATCCCTCGGAGGCCGCGCATTCCCACAAAACATGAAAATAAAAACGGCCTAAGCGTCCCACTCGTTAGTTTAAAGTATTTCTATGGCTTTGGAGCCGAATTCGCGCCGGATCGCAGAAATTTACACGCGATTTTAATTAATTTGCGTTTCCTTAATTTTTTTCATTTTTGTTTTATTTACATCTACATTCGTTGTTCTTCATTTCTAGCCTTTGTCATCTTCATCACCTTCTATTCGGACTTTGAAGCATGAGCAACACCTCAAATGTTATTCGCATCAGGAAATTGCGTTTTGCTTGTATTAAACTAACGAGTGGGCCGTTTTTTTATGTTTTGTGGGAATGCGCGGCCTCTGAGGGATGTTGCAGAAGAGGAATAGCGTGTTTCACTTTTCTGTATCTCCATTCCTGCGCATGTTAGGACGGGAAACCGCTACGCTTCGACAGCTGGGGGCTGATAGTCACACACACCCAAACTATGTGTGATCGTACCATGTGTCTTTAAGCAAAGCATACCCGGACTTACGTAGCGCTATTGCTTGTCAAAAATGATTTAGGCAGTATCCTAAATAGATGAGACAAGATTTGATGCAAGATGCGAACAAATGATTGTGACTTCAGGGGCATGGTAGTTTTGCTTGAGCCTAGGTTTAGAAACGCTCTGAGAGTGAATAGTTCCTTCGTGCATCTTGGCGGCTGCCTTGAAACTTTTTTTGTCATGCAACCACATCAAAAAAACCCGGGACTTGTAAATTGTTGTCTCGTAGATCGTTCCTATCAACGCTCGCACACGTTTGTGAAACAAACCAAACAAAGAAAGGTAACGTCACCATCGATCGAGAAAGGAATGGCACGTCCTAGTCGCACAACGAATGACATATAGTTGCTGCAGAAGATGGATAGTTGTCTTGAAGAAGTGGTCCGTCACTATTCCCGAGTATACAGTCCTCTTCATTGCAGACCGGTGGGGCGGCTGAGCCGCCCCACCGGTCTGCAATGAAGAGGACTGTAGATTTAGACGACTGTATGAAAAACATGGTGTGGTATTCCATTTAAAATCGCGATCCCCTCTTTTGAATTTAAAAACATTTTTTGTGGGAACAATGAAACAGGTGATATATTGAGATAGCTTCCAATTGAAACAAGATGTTTTCAGGGCTCAGTCGGTCATGAAGACTCGTCTGAAGGGCGCACAGAAAGGTCATTCGTTGCTCAAGAAGAAAGCTGATGCCCTGAATATGCGTTTCCGTGATATTCTGAAGAAGATCGTCGAGGTACTGCTTCATGCATTTGATTATGAACACTTGTATTCTCTCTGATCCTCGTAACAGTTTTGAAGTGCCATTGCATTTTTTTTTGTTCGACTGGTGGACTCTCCACTTCGCAGAAGTTCTTAACAACCCTGTTGCTTGTTTTATCTAAGAATTTGATTGTTTCTTGATCCTCCAGTTTTTAAACCTTACAACCTTTACCAGATCATTATTATTTCAGAACAAAGTGCTCATGGGTGAGGTCATGAAGGAGGCAGCTTTCTCTCTAGCTGAAGCAAAGTTCACAGCCGGAGACTTTTCACATACTGTCATTCAAAATGTCTCACGCGCACAATATCGTATTCGCATGAAGAAAGAGAACGTTGTAGGTCAGTGTTAATTCGAAGGTTCTGTAGAGATTAGTAACACTTGCTCATTGTTGTG